GTGCTCATTCGGTGAGGTCGTTTTTCGTCAATGATTGTGTATCTCGTTTTTATTAGTGATCAATGCCTAGCACTTTAAATTGTAACTTCGCTCCCACTCTAGCCATTAAGTATAATAAATGTATTGATTGATTTAATTAATGTTTGTAGTATAGGTATGTTATATATATATATATATATATATATATATATATATATATATATATATATATATATATATATATATATTTGTTGTCTGGAAGAAACTGCTATCAGCTGCTATCTTTTGTATTTATAATCAGAATTTATTGTATGGTGTGCAATCAAGAATATAAAATAAATAAATAAAGTTAAATGGAAATTTATTATACAGCTAAACGAGTTACAAAATGAAAAAGGTTATACACTTGTCTAATAAACTGTTGAAAAGGCATGAAATTTTTAAAAATCAAATTATGAAGGTAAAGCTCGTCACACAGTTGTTGCGTTAAAGCGTTACCACGGCTTTAAAAATATGCAGAAGTGAATTAAATCTACTATTTTTCCAAAAAACCGAAGGTACAGAACTGTTCATTCAAAAATTCAACGATATGTTTGACGTTTACAATTCTAGAAATATGCGGTAAATTGATTTCAAAAAACCTCTTTTTGAATCAAATAAAAACTTTATATTTAGTATCTTGGTTGAGTAAAAGGAATACGTCACAAATCTAAAAATAAAAATATCGTCTATAAGGTCGTCCTTCTTAGATCATTATACGATTTTCTAAACCAGTTATAGAAACTAAATGCAAAGCAGGGTTCTTGGATGTATTAATTGATTATTGAGAGTCTGAAAGCTATTTAAAATAAATGGATTGAGACTGAATAACGATTAATCTACCTACCAACTTACAAGTTAAGCCAGGATCACTTGAAATTAATATCTTTATCTATTAGGATGCTGATTCAATGATAATCCCGATGTCAAACAAATCAAGGGCATATATTGAAAATTATTGCCATATCTTGAACTGAAATGTCTGACGACAGAAGATTGTGTTCTTCTAGAGAACATAGCCATATTAAACTGCACTTCAGCAACGCAAATAATAAATATCACGACAACTTCATACCGACACGAGTAAGAAGATTGCGTTGAAGGTTCTTCATTACAATTTCTGAGTGAAATCGAAAACGATTGAGATGATTTAGCTTGTCGTTAACCCTTTTGGACTGGATAATTCGCATATGACCCAAATACTTGAGGACTGATGGTACACTATGTCCCATAGAGGCTTAACGTGGGACTGAGACTCTGTTTTTGACTTTTGGGTGCGAAAATGCATCCCAAGTCGTCTGCTATTTAATGTTCAATAATTTCACATTGGTAGTTTTAGGCTGGCTACATTATTTTGTGATCTATGGTTAAATAATCAAACACGTCCATAACAGCTGGTGGAAAAAATGTTTTGAGGTGTATTTTGCGATGTTTTGATGTAATACTTTTACGTATTACGTTACATATTATAAGTTATTTCGAATTTAAGCTAATTTAATAAGCTAACATTTATTTACGACATGAAAAAACTGACGTTGGGACATTATTCCTTATCAGTCTTTTGACAATTTTTTAATGATAGCACAAGAGTTTTTGGTTAATTTTTGTAACAAGGAATTCGTACTTGATTAGATGCATCGGTAGGTACGTGTTCCGCAATGGTGCCTATGATTTAAAAAATCTGAATGGACTGCGCGTGAAATTCAAGGCAGCGTATAATCAAACATTCAAACATTGGTGTGTAAATAAATGACTTTGCATTCTATTCCAGATGGATTCAAGGCAAAAAAGAGACACGCTTCTAAATGATCGTCATCGCTGAGTATCTTAATGAAGACGGAGACGTTCTTTTGATGAGTTTGTTGAAAGTAATGATGTATACATTCCTCCTCAAGGTTGTCACAGAGGCTCCAGATATGAAGAATTAGTGGCAAGTAGTAGTAAGGAAGAATATGAAAAAGAGTGGCTTGAATAAATAGATGTCTTGCAAGCAGAAGAAGATATTACAGATAGAGAAAGTGTAAATGTAGACCATGTTAGCCCAGGAAATAAGAAAAAAAAACATACGCGCTGCCATTGAAATCAATGAAGATATAGATAACGAAAGCTTGGAAGTTCAAAATGACAATTCAGAAAGACCTTTCAATGCAAATTTTATCTGAGGAACAGTACTCGAAAATTTTACATCAAGACTGTAAGTATTCCAAGAGTCTACAGCATGTTAGAATGTTTTACAGAAAATTCTAATCCAACAGATATCTAATTGAATTTTTTTCTAAAGAGACTAATAGATTATATTTCCCAATGCACTAATTTAAGAATTGAAAAAACGCGAAATAAGGTAGGATACTCGAAAACGAAACTATATGACAACTACTGACAGATGAGAAATAGCGATAGTTCTGGGCTGCGCTCTTATAATGGAATATAATAAACTTCCGTCCTTCTCCGACTACTGGTCCACAAAACCATCTTTAGCAAATACTGTCGTAAAAGCTGCCATAAGTCGTGACAGATGCAAGTTTCTTTTAGGAAAATTGTATTGTGCTAACCCTGAAAAACCCACTGATGCTTCTAAAATGTACTATTTTGAAGGATGTTCTGAATTGTTTAAAAAAACTTTTTAGAATATAGAGAGGATAGCTACATACAAAGTATTGACGAGTCAATAACAAAATTCAAAGGGCGTTCCAGTCTTAAATGATATATGCCGATGAAACCTGTAAAACAGGGCATTAAAATGTGGGTACACACTGATTCCAGAAGTGGGTATGCGTATAACATGGATATTTATGTACGAAAAGATTCCAATCGAAGAAAAAATAACTTCACCTTGACTTCACCATAATAAATCCAGACACTACAATCTGCTTTAACAGATTTTTTACGTCCATAATTAAAAATTATGGACACCTTACAGTTTCCTTGCTTCTTTGTAGGAACATGGCAACATGTCACGAAAAAACATATTAAAAATATTGCCATGAAGAAAACTGATTTAAGGCGAAATGGCTTTTGCAGAAAACGGGCGTGGTACTATCGCCGTGAGGTGGCAAGATACTAAAGATTTCCTACTAATGAGTAACTATCATGGAACTCATGGCACTGAAGTATCAAGAAAATTAAAAACTGGTTCCATTATCACAATACCGGCATCAGAAATCGTTGCTTTTTATAGACGAACTATGTTGGGAGTCACGTATGGGGGACCTAGACTTGAATGTGTTCCTGGGACATCGCCTTTGTCTTCACGGCCTAGTGTTGTACGCATAGTATGTAACTCATTTAAAGTTTTATTTTAGAATTCTTGTGTAATTGAATATTACTATAAAAATCTTGGTTTCAGGAGCCTCAAAGTCCCATGCCTCTTGGCACTTGCTCAGGCTGTGCCCAGCAGCTCTCCAAGTGTTGGTTTGCCAATAAGTAAGATGCCTACAATACCTTCTGGATCAGGCGTCTGCCTGATCCACAGCGAGGTATACTAAATGTTCGTCGGCGGTTGGCTACATCCATAACGCCAATTCATTCCCACCCCAATACCAGTAATTTTGACTATTATTACAAACGTGAAAGTGTGTTTGTTTGTCAGGCTTTCATGTTGAAACGTAGTGACGGATTAATGTGGTTTTTACGCGGGCGAAGCCTCGGGCCATGTGCTAGTTTTTTGAATTAATATACTCTTTATACAACAATATTTTTTATTTTACTCCTATGTGTATATTGAATCTTTTTATATAAAAATTAGATTCTGTATGTTTGTGTCCACAAATGTCGAAAAGTGATTGATGGATTGACTGCATGGCTTTACATAAGTAGATTAGCTAGTAATTAATATTGTACAAAGCCCCAGCAAAGCATGGCCGAGTTTAGCATTTATATAATACTAGCGCTCCGCTTGCGTGAGTGTCGGTTGTTGCGCCAAAAAGTCCAATGTCCTATGTCCAGGGTCCAAGCTGTTTTCGTATTAAATTTATTCAGAATTTGTTCAGTGACTTAGCCATGAAAACGTAATTAACGAACAGACGTATAATTAAACACGTATATGTACAACAGACAGACTTATAATAGACAGATTTATAATATTAGTATAGATTATTAGTATGTATAAGACTTGAATTTGATTTTGGTCTCTTTATAGCAACTTCAGGTCATCGTGGCAGACGTCGCAGACCACTATCACCACCATCATAGTTACAGCCTTATTTGATTAGTATAGCCGAGCGGTTCCTACGAGTGGAAGAAGAGCGGACTGAAATACAACGGCAGAACCTTGCAATATTACAAACTTATCTGGATAATCAAATAGAAAGGGACCGCTCTACAGCTCAAGCAATGATGGTCATTGGAGATGGGTTGAATTTGTTGGCAGAAGTATTAAAAAATAAAAAAATAATATTTTGTAAAATGTCTTTTAATGCATTATGCTCCTCGCACGCCATAGTCTATTTACTAAGTACTGTCGACTTGATTGCCCCAAGATATCTTCTCTGGACACACCTTCAACTTCCTCGTGCACGCATTGTATTGTGAAAACGAATTTATTCTTGCAGATCATATTTGCCCAAAGCTGGATCAGGAAGCCCTGCACGATTGCAAATATTATGTAGCACAAAACAAGCTATCACAGTTTTTGCGACAATTTTTTTTCTTTATTTCTACATTACATGTGGCAAAACTGTCCCTTCGTAGATGAATCGCGATTCACTACACTACTACTACTACCAGATATTTAATATTTGTAATTTTTTATTTTCAGTGAACTTATCGGTTTTGTTATTTATTAGTGTTAACCATTGGGCTTTTTTATGCTGTCTACACACCAAGGCCGGCGGCCTGATTTTGAAACGACCAAAGCCGCCGGCTCGGCGGCATGCGCCCGCGCGCGGCCCGCCCGGCGCTCCCCGGTCCCCACTCAGTTGCCCGCCGACTTTCGAGGAGTAGTGACGTGCGTGACTGTGTTTTTTTTTATCAACTAAAACAATATGGAATGGGAAGACGAAAAAGTGATAAAACTAATAGAACTCTATCGTTCAAAACAATTATTATGGGATCCAAAACACAGTGATTATAAATTGCACCCAAAACGCTTCGACGCATTTAATGACATTGCGACTGAATTGTCTACATCTGTTACAGAAGTAGAAAGAAAAACTCACTATTATCGCGAAAAAAAATGTGACAGTTCGAATAAATCCGGAGCGGGTACCGAGGAAATATATGAAAGTAAATGTTGCCTACAAACCATTAAATTTTCTGCACAATAAAAATGTCCCTACTGGAACAATTGATACTGTAAGTATTATACCTAAGTGATATAATTTGTTAATTAAAAGCTGAAAATAGTAATAATAATTAATAGCGAGATTCAAACTCACTACCTTTGGCTGACACATTCACTGCATTGATCACTGAGCAATCGTGGATTCAATTCCACCCGTATTTTACACTTTTACCTTTTTAATTCGAATATTTTTTTTTGGCAATTAACCTTGATTTCTGAACAAAGAATTTTCATTGTAATTATTTACTAAGCAAGGCCAATTGTGAAAAAACAAATTTCAACTACTACACATACACAATAAACACCCGCATATATATATACTTATACTTACCTCACTTATTTATAATAGAATATATAAAAGGATTATATATCAATCCTAATTGTGTACTCTTTAATGCGATACTTTGTTATATGCTAACTAAAAGCTTAATAATATAATATAAATGATAAATTATCTGCTCATCCAGGATAAGCCGGCGGAACAACATTCACAACAGGAGTCAGATTCACAATCAACAGAAAAAAATCAATCAGAGTTGCCAAGACCAAATAAACGTCCTAGAATTAATTAAAAGGAAGAGATGGTGTCCGAAGCACTGAGTATTATGAAGAATATCTCCGAACGACAAAATGCCTCAAAGATACTAGAAAAAGATGAGGATGGTTTGTTTGGAGATTATATTGCTGCCAAGTTAAGAAAAATGGAGCGGTCAACGAAAGCAATTGTAAGACATCGGATCAATAACATAATATGTATTTGAAGCCGAAACTGGCATTTGAGCCGATATGTTTTCGGATTTTTCAAGACCATCGTCAACATACAGTCATCCGGGATACTATTCGGTTTCAAGACCATCGTCAACACACAGTCATCTGGGATACTATTCGGCTGCAGCTACAAACTACTCAACATCCGTATACTCCGCCCAATCCCACGAGACAGTTTCACCTCCAGAAATATTTGAGGAAGATATCTCACCTCTAGCTCGTAATAGTACCCAGCATATTGAAAATATTTTAACATCCTTAAATCTATAGATATTTAAGAATGAAATTGCCTTTTTTCTCAATTTATTTTGTTTGTATCTTTATATCGGAATCTGCATCGCTTATTGAATAAAATTACATAAAAACACTAAAGGAAAAATATGCCATGTGTTCAGAATTTATGCTATTACTATTTCTTTGCTAAGAATGTATAATATGTGTGATTGTCAATTATAGTGTTATGTATGCGTGTATTAAAGTACTTCAAGATAATTGTATCACTTCAAGTAAATGATGTTTTTGTATTTTTTATCTAAATTATAATATCACTACTTATAATTAAGTGTCCGTGGTACCACTCTAATAAACGGTGCATAAATTCTGAGCACATGGGAATTTTTTTCAGTGTTTTATATCATTTTATTCATTTAAGCGATACTGATTCCGTATCACCTTACAGTTTTAAAATTGAGGAATAAAAAAGTTTGCTACTAATTGATTTATAATAACTGTTTATACAAATATTAAAAAATAAATCAGAATTATGTTATGAGTTTTACTTTAGTTTACTATGGGGCGTTTATTGGTTATATTGCCATTCTAATGTACCGACATCAGAAAGAAAATAATGAGTCAACTCTATTCTTGTATCCTCGGTGGTGAATACTGCATCTGGGCCTGAAGTAATATTATTGTCTTCTCTGGGGATGTTAACTAAACAACTTTCATGTGCATTCCGTCGCCACTTACCTGGAATGACTTCTCCTTCATAATTTTCAGTATCGTTTTCATTTTGTGGTAGTGCACCGGTTTGTTTTATATATATGAACAAATGTATATACGCCAATGTTACAATAGTAGCTTTTTCTGGGATTAGTTCAATAGGTTTATGGAAAATCTGAACGGAGAATGACCAAAAGTGGTACCAAAAAGTCTCGCGCATCAAGACTAAATTCTAATAGTAATTAGTGTCCTAATTTTTTATGGCATTACGCGTCCGAGGATTTTATTTTTGAACGGGGAATTTTCTTTTTGAGTTTAAAAGTATGAATATTGATATTGTATTATTTTTTATTTTTATTTAACTGGTTTTACTGTCCGGAGTCTAGCCCTTCTGAGCATATCATATCTTTCGGAATCTTCATTTTTATATATTTTTTCTTCACAATATGCTGATGCGTCACATTGCGAAGTTCTTAGGAGATTTTGACGATAGCTCAACCGCTCCATGCTCCATTTAAAACAATATCCATACGGTTTTAAAAAATATATAAAATTGAAGATTCCGAAAGGCTAGAACCCAGAACCGTAAAACCAGTTAAATAAAAAATGTTATAAATGACGTTTAAAGTGCATCTGAATAGGAGTAATAGTCATAGAGTAGAGTAATATATACAGAAATAGAGAGCCATCTCCTAGGATTTTTTGTCACCCAATACGAATAATGTCGCCGCCTGGTATCATATCCCTTGAACTAATCTCAATATCATGTTGACTATAGATAGCTGTATGTAGTTATGTATATACAGCTATCTATACTATAGGCGGTTATATTTATATTTTAAGGGATTAGGGTTCAATTAAAGACGTATTATAGATTTCAGTAATATTAACATTTATTTTTGTTATATATTTAACATACACGATGTAAAAGCGTCTATTTCGCACAACACTACACAAACATACAATGTAATTCCAGCATGAAAATCTAAACAGACAATAAAGAAACAGAGGGCTAATCCCAACTCAACCAAACTTATGGTAGCAACAACCGAAAATCACTTATAAACTATAATAAAACAACAACTTGCTCAGCGCCGGTAGCCATTATGTCATATAAAGTTGCTACTTGCCATTTCCAGAATAACCAGAATTGGTGTAGTCGCCATCTAGCGCACCTTTTAGAATTTAATGTTCGAAAGTTTATGGAGCACTCGGACAACACGTCCGTTACCTTCTCCCGGAAAAGGACCGCCCATCAAATATGACCAAGCCACCAATGTCGGCGAGGCCATCAAAATAATGCCGGCGTCTATAGAAGACTTCCGGAATATAACCCGTCTCTTCACGGCCGAGCCTGTGTCCTATAACACATACGCTCTCACCGAAGAAAGAAAAATCAAGGCGGTCCTATTTTATATGTAGTACAAAATGGCACTAATGTCTTTGCAAATTAATGAACCCCAACCTAAAGTATGGAAGTACACCCTCCCCCCTGGTAATTGTGTTCTGTGGCATCTGACCTTTGTGCTGACCACGCGCTATCTTTGTTCCAACAAATACAACTGTCTGTGTTTTGAGAATTGAGATTAGTTAGTTATTGAATTGTGTGTTGAGAAGTAGAACTTGTTAGTATTTTGTGAACTTTATTTCTGTATATTTAATTGTGCAAATATGTCGAGTCGTGGAGTCGACCGATTGACATCGTCAGTCACCCGGCATAACAAACGATGTATCAATTGTTCATTTTTGATGCCTAGAAACCTACCTATACATTCATTGGAACAAGCATCTACTTCAATGATTAATTTGTTACATTCGTGGATAACTCCTACTCAGGTAAGCAGATCTTATTTTACTCTTTGAATATATACCTAAGAATGTCAAATCTCTACCATTGTACCGTCTTACAAAACATTTTTATAGAATGAAAGAAATATTTATTTTAGACAGCATAGGCAAATAACAAATGATTTACAAAAAACGAACCTATTTGTGGTCAAAAAAGGCTTTACTCTTGATTGCATATTTAAATGTAAATTCTGTGAATATGTTACGGAGGACAGATAGTGTCAAAAAGGTTAAAAACACACTTTTTAATTCATGGTTTTTATTGCAGTTGTCTTCAGAATGTGTGCTTTGTACAGAGTGTTTGACACTGCTTCAAGATCAAGCAAACACAATTAGTGAAGGATTGCCTGCTTTCGGTCATAGAAGTATATGTTTTACTTGTGGCAATTCTATTCTACGTGCAACTAGAACATATTCAGTAACACAAGATCGACAAGAGAGAAACATTTTAGTTGTACATGTTCCGCTGCATCTGGTAAATATTTTTATTTATGTTGCAATATAAAAAAAGATCAACTTCTTATTAATGTTCTTATTTTCTCCAGTCTTCTACAGTTTTTAGTTATAATACTGCTGTGTTTCGTATAGTGGGTGTAAAGAACCAGAGATCCTTTTTACTGGGAACAAGGCATTCCATCGTAGTCCTCAGGGGTGAGAATGCATCTGCATTTTGATTTGTAATCGAGAATAGATGTAGATGTCTATGGACCACAGCAAATACTAATTACCATCAGGTGGACTTTATGCTCGTTTCTCACCCTATCTTATACAAAAATGTATCCCTAACATTTACATCACATTACAATACACACTTTTATCAAGTTTATATCCCATTGTGAAATGTTTCATATTACATGTTTAATTGTGTTATTTTTAGATCTCAAGATTGGAAAGAGTATGTGCTGCTTGCTGGAGATCAGCTACAAGAGAATTTCAACGTCGTGATCAGCACGACTCCAATCGCCCTAGTCTGTCAGAAGCTATTTTGCCTGATGTTGGTAGTAGCGATCTCAATATTACTGAGCCGCCCCTTCTTCCACAACAAAACCTACACACTACTCATATTAGATCAAATCCAACAATTAGGTCTTCTGTGTATAAGCGTTCGGCTAGCACATCCAATCACTGTATATTTGATAATTGTTTTGAAACAGAGCGTTCACTAGTACCCTCATCTATAAAAGATCCGTTATTACTTAATAATAAATTCTATGTGCCACCAGCAGCACGAATCTGTCGTCACCACCTGGATCATGGCCGTTGGAGCGAATTAACTTCCCAGCTAAAAGATTTTACTGGTAGTCAATTCGACTCAAATATGAGAATAAGCTGCCTATTACCACATAGATTTCTCAAATATTTTAACTATGCCTACATATTTGTGTCACTTTTGGTTAGGCATGAACTCGGATCAGTTTTATGATTTGTTAAACTGTATCCCAAGTCTAGCAGGACAAGTACCAAATGCCACGGTTGCTTTAAGAATTTACTTAGTAAAGCTTAGAACTGGTGATAGTAATGAAAGGTTGGCAACTCTCTTTAATAAATCTCGTGTTACCTTAGAACGCTTAATGAATAAGACCAGAACATGTTTAATTAATGAGTTTGTTCCATTGTATTTAGGATTTAATCATATGAATGTAGAAGATGTTGCTTCTAGAAATAGAATAATACCAGAAGGATTATTTGGTAATCCTGATTTGCCACCTAATTCTAAACCAGCAATAGTGATATGTGATGCTACATATGTATTTATCCAAAGTAGTTCTAATTACTTATTTCAAAAACAAACATACAGTTTGCAAAAATTGGATAATTTGGTCAAACCATTTATGATAGTGTGTTGTGATGGTCATATTGTGGATTGTCTCGGACCATACAAGGCGACAACTAATGATGCTACAATTACAAGTTTAAACTTACGTATTGAGGAAGCTTCTTTAAGATCATTTTTCCGAAGATGTGACATTTTCATACTAGATAGAGGATTTAGGGATGTAATTAATGAACTCCGGGGATACGGCTTTGTAACACATATGCTAGAGTCTCTACTTGAGAATGAACATCAATTAACAACCCAGCAGGCAAATCAGTCTCGTTTTGTTACTATGTGCCGCTGGGTTGTAGAAGTGGTTAATGGTAGGTTGAAAAGGGATTTTAGACTCATTCGTCATGTTTTTAACAATAGAACGGTTTTGCACCTAAAGGATGATTTTAGAATCTCATGTGCCCTAATTAATAAGTTTCATGTTGTTATAGAAGACCCACCTGAAGCCATGGAATATGTAAGAATTGCTAAGGATAGGCTTTCACTAGAGAACCAATTGACAACTTATGTTGAACAGGCAAATCTCAATAGAAGGAGTGTGAATTTTCAGTTGATTGACAGCAATAATCCACATTTAGAGGGATTTCCACAATTGACAATAACTGATTTAAAACGGTTAGCTCTTGGGATTTATCAACTCAAACAGGCTAGATCTTATTATGGGGAACACATCCGTCGGACTGGTATTTATTCAGCTGAGGTGAATAATACTATCGATGATGTGTACCTTTGATTTTGGGGCTTAATAATTACCTCTTAAGAGGTAGGATTAAATCTAGACATGTCAACAGTCGTACTTATCACATATATTTATTGATTAGCAGAGATGATGCTGTGGCCAACACTTTAGAAACCATAGTAGGTTATTGCTGCAGCTGCCTTGTCGGTAAGCGAACAGTAGGCTGCTGTGCTCATATAATGACGATAGTGTGGTATTTGAGCTGGGGACGGTATAATGACGTAAATGCGCCGGGAACGGCTTTAGATGATTTTTTTCAGGAGTATGATGAATGATTAAAGTAAATATATTTTAAATAAATATTTTTGACTTTAAATCGCTATTAAAAAAACCCAAATGGACTTGTTTGTTTTATTTTTTCTATCACTTGCCTAATTGATTCACAACAAAATGAGCTTGCGCAATAGTGTCTGTCATAAATAGTATCGTATCTTAGATTAAAGAGTTAAAGACGCTCTAGACTCTACGAGCTTTTTTTCGGTCTGAATGGTCACACTTATGATAATGTATTATTGATATTAGTGTGGTAGTGTGATCGCGGTGGCGTTCAATTATATACATATTACCTTTAGATACGTTACCCACTCACAGTATTGACAATATGTATAAAGGTCGGGCAAATATCCGAGTTTCAGTCACGCATCCGATGGCGCGGCTATGTGTTGCTATGACTCGTAATTCTTACTAATATTAATAGGTTTTTAGGGCAATAAGTTTGTCCATGTTTAAAGTGTCAATTTAAAATAGGTCGTTGGTAGCATCGAAAAAGTGACGTAATAGTTTTTAGGTTATTTTCGATTTTATAAAATAACTCCCAAACCCGGTTTCTTTTTTCAAAAAGAATTTTTGTAGGAGTTAATAGGATTAGTGTAGTCCAGTGATTCCCAAAGTGGTCTATATCGACCCCTAGGGGTCTATGATAACCTGCAAGGGGTACCAAGGGACAACAATACTGTTGAAAGACGTATTGATGAAATGAGTTCTGATATTGAAAGCTTCTTATGTAATTATTTGCAAACGACCCATTTTTCTATACAACTGGACGAGTCAACTTTACCTGATAATGCAGCATTATTATTGGCATATGTTCGTTTTAGTATGAATCAAGAAATCTACGAAGAACCTCTTGCAAGAAATTGATAACCGACAATAAAGGTGAATCAATATTTCATGTTTTGAATGATTACTTCATTAAAAAAGCAATTCCTTTATCAAATATAATATCAGTAGCTACATATGGAGCACCTGCCATGGTTGGACGTTATCGTAGATTTATAAACTATTTAAAACAAAATGTGTCAGGTGTTAGCAATACATTGCGTCTTCCATCGACAACATTTAGTTGCTAAAAATTTGAGTGTTAGATTGCATGAATTACTTCATTTAGTCATTGATGCAGTAAAGTTTGCACTTTTTGAGACTATTTTATAATTTCTGGATACTAAAGAAAAAATTTTAAAAGAAAATTTAATGAAGAGGAAAACAGACATCACCTATTTAACAGATTTGTTTACAAAATTTAATATGGTTAATTTACAATTACAAGGCGACAATTTAAATTTGACTAAAACAAAGTCCACCTTATCAGCGTTTCTGCTTCTGCTGCCAGAGTTAAACTAATGAAGCAAAATATTGGACGGGGCGAATTTTCTCAGTTCCCCAATTTGTCACAGACAAGCTGCCAGGAAGACGACGTTTCAACTTACGTTCAACATTTAAATGCCCTCTATTCAGATTTTGAATCTAGGTTTGAGGATATTTTGACTATGGTAATACCACCGTGGATAATTAATCCATATGGTGACATAGAAGAAACGAATGTCATAATACAAGAGGAACTGACTGAACTAAGTACAAACGAAGAACTTAAGGTTCAGTTTAAAAACGGATATCAGCAATTAAGGCTGCAAAAGACCATACCCGTTACTTATCCCGTATTATGGAATATAGCGAGGAAATTTTTAATTTCCTTTCCATCGTCATACCTAGTGGAAAGGGGGTTCAGCGCTGTTACCAATCTCCTAACGAAAAAAAGAAACAGACTGGACATCATTAGCCGAGGAGATTTAAGATTAACCCTCACAAAATTGACGCCAAATGTTGATAATTTATTATTAAAGCATCAGGTTCATCATTCATCCTTCTCACTAAAAATATTGACTTATTGCTTATGTTATTTTATTTATAGTATATTTTATGTTTATTTAATGCTACGTATATTTTACATAATAGATACAAAATTTTATTTTGAGTAGTTTTAATTTAAATTCAATTAATAAATGTATAAATTAACATGTGTTTTTACTTTAAGTTTTTAACACTAAACTTTACTACAATTAGAAATTTACAGGAAATCAATATCAGGTAATTAGGGGGTCTACCCAACACGAAAAACATGGCAAGGGGTCTACGACACAAAAAAGTTTGGGGAACTCTGGTGTAGTCTATAAAAAACAAAGTTTAATTTTGATGCAACTCGGTACGAGATTCCATACATCTATGGTCATTCTCCTTTATTTGCTAACTGCCCAAACACATTTTCAACTACCCTTCTCCCTCGACATACACGATAGTTAAAAATCCTCTTTGGGGAGCCTTTCGTGTGATTCCCATCATAAGCTTTCATAATATGGGTTTGCAATGGAAAAGCGTCATCACCCAAAAAAAAAGAATGGTATTGGTGTATTCCGTCTGGGTAAAGGATTTTTATCTGGTAAATTCAAAGCATTATCATTCATTAACATCCTGCATAATGCAGAATTACTGAAGACACCGCCGTCACCAGTAGACCGAAATCCGACCCTGACATCCCACATTAGGGTACAAAAATTGTAATCAGCATCTACTAAAGCAAAAAGCACAATACTGAAATAAAGTTTATAGTTATAGTATTCACTGCCACTCCTTGGAGGACATTTCAATTTTACGTGTTTCCCGTCCATTGATCCAAGACAATTAGGCACTTGCCATCTTTTAAAATATGCATCTGCAATGTTTCTCCATTCTTCCGGTGTCCTTGGTAGCTAGAATAAATAAAAAAGTGTAATAATCCAGATTAACGCCCCGGCCACATCTGGACGGCACGACGGTCGTGTCGGTGACCGACACGCCGTCGGTGCCGGCGCCGACGCCGGAAAAGCTGCCAGTTAAGTATTTGGATCGTCATTTTGTATGTTGAGTCGATCACTGTCGCTTGAACTGTTCAGGCTAGTGGCAAATATTTCAAAATATGGATTACAAGACACGTATTATTCTCCTCTTGCTATTGTTGAAAAGGCGCAAAGAAAGACAAAGGGAATATATATTCTTATTCTTTATTTGTCTTGTAATCCATATTTTGAAATATTTGCCACTAGTCCGAACAGTCCAAGCGACAGTGATCGACTCAACATACAAAACGACGATCCAAATACTTGGACTGGCAGCT